TCCCCAGGACAGCAGGACTCCATTATGCATAATGGTTACTTAGGAAGACAAGCGCCATCACTCAGAATGTCCCCCCCTTCCTTCTTCCTCCTCCAGTTTTTACTGCTGAGCATGACTTCATACCATATGAAATATCCCTTGGGTCTGTTGGGGTCAGCTGTCCCAGCTGTGTCCCCTCCCAACTTCTTGTGCACCCCCAGCCTACTCTCTGGTGGGGTGGTGTGAGGAGCAGAAAAGGCCATGACTCTATATGTAAGCACTGCTCAGCAGTAACAAAACCATCCCTGTATTATTAACAGTGTTTTCAGCACAAATCCAAAACATAGACCCATAATAGCTACTAAAAAGAAAATTAACTCTATCCCAGTCAAAGCCAGCACACCTCTTAATACAGCTAGGTCCTTTTTCCCCTTTGCTTTCAGCTAAGGAAGTTAAAGCAAAAATTCTTCTAATTACTACTCATAAGCAAAATCTTACAGTGTGTGCTATTGAATTGCATCCAACTTTAATGCTCCGGGCCTCAAGCTGCTTCCAGTTTGATATTCCAGACCCTCTGTACTGATGAAACTCCTCCAGTTGTGCATCATAACAAATATTGTCACCAACTTCTCCCGCTTCCTTTTGCCAAGGTCATTAATCGTAATATTAAGCAGTAAGTAATATCTGTCCCATACAGGGTCCTTAAAAACTCCCCCAGCCACCTTTCTCCTGCCTGTTGCATTTCTAACACATCTTTAACATTGGCTTGGTTTTGTTTAGGCTCACTTTAGCTCCTGTCACTTTTGGTGATGTAGTTTTGCAGCTGGCAATTCTTGGACCATCCCTCTCTCCAGTGCTGCTGAGCCACCCCTGACTTCCCAGCACATGTGGCTAGTCTTTCTCATCAGACTTCACACCAAAATATAGGGATGTGCTCAAGAAGAACATCTCTGGAGATTTCCTGATTTTCCACTGTGATCAGCAAATGAACCTTCATGGTATCTGCTTAGAGAATCCTTTCTTCCTAATTTAAGCTTCTGCAGAGACTCCAAGTGCCTGCAGAAAGGTATCTCCCCCCTAGCACAGCCTTGGAGCTGTGTTGGGGCAAATCACCAGGCCTCCTCACCAGATGGCTGTTTTTTTCTAGCTCTCCACATCTAGCATCAGAAATTCCCCTCAGCAAGTTCAAAAGGTGTCAGCTATTCTGTTGAAAAGAGAAAGGTCCTGGGCTTTGAAGCCACTGACATTCAGGTGCCTGAAGATACGTTTTTTATGCTGTGTTCAACACTTGTCCTTCCTTCTCTCCAATACCACACACAATCACTAATTTTCCAATACATCTGGGCATCCTTTACCCATCAGAGTTCACAGGCACACTTCTAGCCATCACTGACATGCAAGGCACTTGGTTTTGAGGTTTCTTGGCTTTCCACTGGAGTGGAAAAGGTCCTTCTCAACATCTGATTTCTGACACCCTTTTTCTCCTTTCTCGCGCTTCCTCAGAGAGACTTCATGTCCCTGCAGACTGTGACCTGCACCCAGCACAGCCTGGGAGCCTCCTCTCTCCACTGAGGTCTATGGGATCTGTTACTTGCCAACCACAGTTTGCAAAAATATTGCTGCTGGTGGGATTAGAGCGAAGAGAGACAGCGTGGGGTGGGTGGGGAGTGTCTGCAGGGAGAAAACAGGTAAACATGACAGCCACAGACTCGGCTGAGGGGAGCAGTGTGTAGTGCTCAGGCTTTTCTCACTCTGCTGCAGGGTCAGTGTGTGATGCTGGATAAACCCCATATTCCCCAGGGGTGCAGTGCAGCAACTGTTCCAGTGAGGTGAGAACCAGACTCACACAGAATTTAAAAACCACTTAAATATTTATGAGAAATATTACATTCAGAAGAGACTGGCTGGCTAGTATTATTCATCCCTCCTGGATTCTGATGTTTAATTAATGATTCCAAAGTGCTTTGAGATGCTTGGATGAAAGTGATACAAAGACGTCACTGCACTCTGTGACCCTCGGTCCCAGAGGTATCTGTTCACAACACAGCTGTAGCAGCTCTGAGAGATGAGGGTCCCTCCTGTATTCCTTCCCTGAGCTGAGAATGGGTCCATGTGGGGGCCAAGCCTGTAGTTCTGTCACCTCAGACCCACAGCCCTGCTTCTCCTTGCAACTCTACAGAAAGTTCAAGTGTGTTTTGGAAGCTTTACCCCTTCAGAGAATGTTATTTCTCATAGACATTTGCAGTGACATAAACTAACTGTTTAAAAACAAGCCAGTGTTTCTGCATTACAGCATGCTGGGCAGACAAAAGGCAAAGCCAGAATCTGTGCACACTGAGGCATCAGCTCAGTGTCCCAGAGCCCCCAAGCCCTGAGATGCCAGGGGCATCAACCAACCTGACTTTTCCCAGCATGAATTTTCTCAGCTCTGTTCTTCCCAGGACAGCCCCTCTCTGGCAGTTAGGGACCAGAAGGAACATTTCTGTTTGCAGGCATGTGAGAGCATTTAAAAAATACTGCTGTGATGCGGCAGGCTTTTGCAGGAGAGTTGTGTCTCAGAACAGGGCTTTCAAAATCTCTGGACCGGTGTAAATTGGGCACCCATCCCATCCCATCCCATCCCATCCCATCCCATCCCATCCCATCCCATCCCTCTATGGCAAACTGGGAAGTTCCTGTCTCACACAGGTGGCTCTTTCCCTGTAACAGGATGGCTTCATTTTTCTCCAAAGACACAACTAATGACCATGCTGTTGTGCCCAAGGCCTGCTCAGTGCTGTTCCTTTCATATCTGGTGGCACATTATGCACCTCAGTGCTGTGTCTGCCTGTCCATGATCCTCCATGTGTTTGTCTGTTCCTGCTCCTCCAAAGCCTTGTGGCATCTCCCACCCCCATCCTCCAGACAAAGGGGCAAGTCACTGCCAGGAGGAGAAGAGTGGGTGGCACAGAAATGAAATCTCAGCCATGTCTGGGGCTCAGTGGGTTTCCGCTGTCTTGGCTGAGGCTGGGATTCAGAGAGAAAGACACCAAATGTGGGTGGAAAACCACAAAAGCCCCCTCCTCCACCCTATAGAGAAGGGAAACAGCTGAGATTCAGTAACATACAGGTTACCTAAGCGTAACCTTGTACTGGGTTTGCATGGCAAGGTTTTTGTAGCAAAGAGGCTGCATGGGTGGCTTCTGTGATATGTGAATATGAGCTGACCCCATGTCAGTCAGAGCTGTGTCCAGCCAGCCCCAAAACAGACCCACTGCAGGCCAAAGCTGAGCCAGTCAGTGATGCTGGTGGTGCCTCTGTGATAACGTATGTAAGAAAGGGTAAAAAACACTGCACAGCAGTTGTGAGAGAGAAAGGAATGAGAAAATGTGAGAGAAACAGCCCTGCAGGCATCAAGGTCAGTAAGAAGGAGGGGGAGGAGGCACTTCATCCAGGCACTGGAGCAGAGATTCCCCTGAAGCCCCTGGAGAAGACCATGATCATGCAGGTTGTTCCCCTGCAGCCCATGGAGGTCCACGCTGGAGCAGATATCCACATTGCAGCCTGTGGAGAATCCATACTGGAGCAGGCCCCTGGCACGAGCTGTGGCTTGTGGAGAGGAGTTCACAGTGGAGCAGATTCTCTGGCAGAAGCTGTGGCCCATGGAAGATCCACACTGGAGCACTCTGTTCCTGTACCTCATGCAGAGGACCCATGCTGGAGCCATTCGAATCATCAAATCATAAAACAGCCCAGCTTGGACAGGACCTCAAAAGACCATCTGGTCCAGCCTTTGATGGGAAAGAGGCTCTAGATGAGATTATCTAGCACCCTGCCCAATCACATCTTGAAAGCTTCCAGCAATGAGGACTTTACCACGTCCCTGGGGAGGTTGTTCCAGTGAACAATTGTTCTCACTGTAAAAAATGTCTGTCTTATGTTGAGATGAACATGAAGAACTGCGGCCAATGGGAAGAACTTGCACTGGAGCACTTCATGAAGGACCCCACAGTGGAGCTGGAGAACAGCATGAGCAGAAAGGAGAGGCAGAGACGCTGTGAACTGACCACAGTGGCCACTACCTGCCCCCGCTGCGACACTCAGAGGAAAGAAGAAGGGGCAGAAGAGCCAGGTGTGAAGTTGAGGCTGGAAAGAAAATGGGGGCATGAAGAAAGGTGGTTTTAGTTTTGTTTTCATTTCTTACTATCCTGCTCTGTTTTTAACAGGCCACAAGTTAAATTAATCTTTCCCCAAGTCTGGTTTGCCCATGATGGTAACTGGTGAGCAATCTCCCTGTCCTTATCTTGACCCATTGAGTTTTCTTCATCTTATCTTTTCTCCCTGCCTTGCTGAGAAGAGGGAGTGAGAGGAGTTGGGTAGGCAGCTGGTGGCTAGTCAAGGTCAACCCACCACTGCTACAAAGAAAATATTTTCTCATCTCACCCCAAACCTCAGTCATACTCCACAGACAGGAGTCCCTAACACACTGTCAGGGATCCCCTCTTCCTCTGTTATTATACCTGTGCAACTCCTGGGTTCAGGTCCATGGCCCACTCCTCAGAGGTGCCTCCTCTTAGCAGTGATGCAGGAGACAGGCTGGGAAATGGAGGTCAGCTTGCTCTTGCAGAGTATCAGAGGTGCGGGTTGGGTCTGGATCTGCTCAGCTAACATGTTGATTTGCAAGCTTTCTTTGTCAGTAGAACAGAACCTGTTTCCAGCCATTCACTTTTAAGTTTCAACCCTGTCACGGCCTCCTATCAGCTGCCATATGGCCAATAGGCTCTCTCTGCTTCACACACTCATTCTTCCCAGGCGCCGTAATACGTCGCCTTCCGTTATGGTCTCCATTTCTGATCGCACCCAGGGTTGAAATCACATGCATTTTGGAAAATCACCCTCTATCTAGAGAAGTTGGCAGATGTCAGCAGAACCTGGACTGACAGCAAGACCTTGGTGACGTTCCAGCTGGAGAGGAGGAGACATCAAGGCTAACGTCTGTTGAGCTGCTTTCTGAACATTGACTTAGTTCTTCTTTTGTTTCAGCTGTAGCTGGGTGAGATCAATTACGGCAGGTGACAAACACAAGGAGACAGAAACACAGAGGCAGAGAGGAGGGAAAAGAGGTAAGGGAACTTTCTTTTTTTCTCTGAGAAAAGAGGCCAATCTGGTTTTACTTTTTTTAATGTTATGAACTTTACTATTCCACATGAGTTGCTGTTTCAGTGTGGGTTGATTGGTTTTGCCCCACTTAAAGGTCTGATCTAAACCCATCTTGAACCTTTGACTTGATAATACTTCTTCCTGCGCAATTCTCTGAGGCCTTTTAGTTTTAGCTAAGAAGTATTTGTTTCCCTGCATTTTTCCCTGAAAGGGGCATAAAAAGGGGGACCTACGAAAAGCTCATCCTGCCTCGGAGCTTGGGAATCTCACAGCTTTTAAATCAACATATAGGGAGAAATGTCCAATATACGGGCCCATCACATGGTGACCACATATCCCCAAGGGCTGGAAATGCACGGGGGAGTAGCCCTCCACCAGCTGCCACTTGCTATCAGCTTCTCCACATGCCCTCCAGAAAGGGGAACTTTATTCTAAAAAAAACCCTGATAAATAAGAAGACGCCCGTCTCTAGATAACTAGGGATGTCTGCTTATATCTGTACATGCCGAGACCGGAGGGGTCTGTTCTTCTAATCCAGGCTGACTGGCTCAGTGCCTGACACAGCTGCCAGTGTATCCTGATTCACTAGCTCAGGGCTGAGCGAGCAGGATTTCTTGGAGAAAGAGGGATCCTTTCAGTTTAAGGACTCCAGAAAAGAGACTTCACTTCCTCTTCCATGGGCTGCTGCACTGTTGAAAATGGGAGTTTCATTTCTGGTTGAATTTTTCAACTTTCAGTTAGAGTACCCTACGCAATCCTCGTCAGTCACCTCTATACAGTGCATTGAGCTTGAGCTCAGGTTACTACTTAATGTTCTCCACTATAAACTGAACAGTCCTCTTAAGTCCCTGGTGCACATTAGCCTCAAATCAATTTGCAGACTTTTTCTTTATCCTCCCCAGTGTTTCACAAACATGGCTGCCAAAGCTGCCTGCAGTACAGCAGGGATTGCCCCATCTAAACTGAGCAACCGTCCTGTTCCCGCTCACGGTTCTCAGGCACCCAGGGATGGTCCCCACCTGATCTGCTGCAGCCTCGAGCTGCGACCCTGTATTCATCAGGCAAAAATTAAGGAAGGATGCATTTTTGCTCTGAATGGGCAGATACAGGCCATTTTGCTCTGCTGACATTATCAATATGTATATAGACGCTTTTCCTGTCTGGGCTGTGCATCAAGTAAACTGCAGGGTAAGATCTTGCTGTTCCTATTTTGGCAGCTGCATTAATGATACCTGAATGCCATCCCAAGTATGTACACGGCTTGGGAAGGTGATGGAGGGCCTGCCTTTGGAGGGGCCTCAGTGCCTTTGCTAGTCACAGCCTCCAATGGCTTTAGAAACTCACCCCTGGGGCTGCAGTTGTGATCTGCAGGATGGAAGGTGGTTTGTGGAGCCAAAAAGAGAAGGGTTAGGAGGAAAGACGAGGGGCTAGGAGGAGGTGAAAAAGGTCAGAAAGCAAGTGCCTGTGAGGCAAAGGCAGGTCTTAGTTTCCCTTTAGGCTGCTGAAGGGGTTAGAAGTTGAAGGGAGCAGCCCAGGCTGTGGAGGTGGAGATCCACACGGGTCCAGGCACATGGCTAGGCCAGGGGGACTTCATGGCTGAAGAGAGCTCAGCTGGTGCCGATAGGGTGGCCTCGCCACCCTGCCATGTCCTGACAGCAGGGACCTCTCTCTGGGGTCTCTCGGGCCCCGCAGACTCTGCTCCAGCACCTCCCTCTTGCAGCAGCTCCAAAGGGCAGCAGCTGCTCTTGAACGAGCAGCCATGGGCACTCAGGGGACATCAAGGCAGTCTGGAGAGGAACAGTGGGGCCCATGAAATGACCTTTGCTGCCATCATCTCTTTGTTCTCTGGTTTTTGTTGCATTTGGCCTCTTACCCTTCACATATGTTTGCTTTAACATTAATAAGTATTTTCAAAGAAATCGCTACTCAGTAAAAGAGCCAGATCAGCTTTGCTTTAGATGTTTAAATTGAGGAAAAGAGAGGCAATACTCTGTAACCTAGAGCCTCAAAGCCAAGCCTAAGTGATGTGCAGGGACAAGAGGCAGCTGGCGTCCCTTGGCCCTCGCCTGGCAGCCGCTGCAAGGAGAAACGCAGTGCAGCAGCAAGGGCTGAGGTGTGCAGCCCTTATGCGGATGGGTGCCTGGGCCCCCCCCCGCCACGGCAGAGCGAGCTGCTGCCAGATCAAAAGCACAGCCACAAGCAAGAGCGAGAGAAGAAAACAAGAAAACCACACTGCATGAAAGAGGCACAGGAACGCATCAAGAGGGGAGATGGCCTACTCCGTATCAGGAGCGGTTGCCGAGTTTTTTGTTGTTTTTTTTTTTTTTTTTTAGAAGAGCTCTCTGCAGCCATCGCCCACTGGGGCTCAGTGCTGGAGGGAGCAAGGGGCTGCCAGCCCCTCTTCCTAAGCAGATGTTCTCCAGGCCAAACTCAGTCCTGCAGGCATCATTCCCTACAGCAAGACTGCTCACTGCCTCAGCTCTCCTTTTCCTATCCCTCAGAGACACAGGGATTATTAAAATAAGTCAAGAAGGAAATTAAACTAGTTTAATCAGAGGGGGAAGTTAAAATGAAATGGAAATCAATGTTCACTTGGGAGGAAGCCCTGCTCCTCTGTCACTAGACGTGCTAATAAATCAAGCATGCCTGGACTGTTTCTGGCACTGAGGCCAACTGGCATGAGATGGTCTGGGCTATTAAACTCACTTAACCTCCAAAATGAACTGGCTACATGCCAGCCACCTAATGGGAGTGGTCCCTGGCCCATGCTAACACCTAAATGCATCCCGGGAACTGCTCAGGGGAGTGAGAGTTGTCCTGGGCCAAAAATGTGTCAGGAAATGTTCTAGCAATTTAACAGGACTGATGAGTGTGTTCCAGTGCCTGGGGACATTCCCTGACACCGTTGAATTTATGAGTACCTTCATAAAATACAACTGGGCTGCCTGTAAGGAAGCTGTAGGCCTTCTACAGGCATCCACTAATGAGAGCAACTTGCTCAGTTAACATAGCAAAGCCTTGCTCACCAAGATCTGAAGAAGATAGACAGAGGAAAAATAGGAAGTGGCATGCATGAAAAGTAGAGATAAACAGGGAGAGAAAGTGTATGAAAGAAATGCTGGCTGAAGGCAACCCATTTTCCCCACCGACTTGCAACATGTAGCGGATAAACACAGAATCATGGAATGGTTTGGGTTGGAAGGGACCTTGAAGATCATCCAGTCCCAACACCCTGCCATGGGCAGGGACACCTTCTACTAGCCCAGGTTGCTCAAAGCCCCATCCAACCTGGCTCTGAACACTGCCAGGGAGGGGGCAGCCACAGCTTCTCTGGGCAACCTGTTCCAGTGCCTCACCACCTCACAGGGAATAATTTTTCCTTATATCTAACTTAAATCTTCCCTCTTTCAGTTTAAAACCATTACCACTCATCCTATCCCTACACCCCCTGATCAAGAGTCCCTCCCCATCTTTCCTGTAGCTCCTTTAAGTACTGGGAGACCGCTCCAAATTCTCTCCAGAGCCTTTTCTCCAGCTGAACACCCCCAACTCTCTCAGCCTGTCCTCACAGGGGAGGAGCTCCAGTCCCCTGATCATCTTCACAGCCTCCTCTGGCCCCATTCGAGCAGGTCTGTGTCCTCCTGATGTTGGTGCCCCCAGAGCTGGACACACACTGCAGGGGGGGGTCTCATGAGAGTGGAGTAGAGGGGGAGAATCCCCTCCCTCGCCCTGCTGGCCACACTGCTCTGGATGCAGCCCAGGACATGGTTGGCTTTCTGGGCTGCGAGTGCACATTGCTGCCTCATGGTCAGTTTTCCATCCACATACCCCAAGTCCTTCTCCGCAGGGCTGCTCTCAATCCAAACATCATACTGTAGAGATCTGCCACAGATATACAGATTAATGTGAATGAAGTAGGAATGTGGAAGGTGTGAAACCATGAGAAGAAACAGAAAAACAAAGATGCATCCTTCTGCAACAACCAACCTGTGCAAGGTCATCAGTTCACCAGTGCCACAGTGCTCTGGTTGTGTGGTTTTGCTCAATAACCAGGTAGCAAGAAGGCAAAAAATGAACTGAAGCCACAAGATGACAGGAAAAGAGAAACTCCTAGCCAAAACAAAATTATGGTGTGTGATTCAGTGATTTCATTTTTTACCTGTCCCATTACCTTCAGGTTTTATGTAAAGTTTAATGACTTAAAATATTTGACACCCAGCACTGAACCTGTTAATTTGTAGCTATCACTTTAGAGTGGGAGCTGACTTTTACTGATAATCCCACTGGGATAGAGGACATGAGTGTTCACAGCTGGGACAAGGTTTCTTCTATCGTTTCAGGAATGGATCTTACCCAGGGCCCTACACCAGTTCTCGCTTATAGATGTTTCTTTAGAGATGTATACAGATGACTTGCTGTTTCCCCTTTATTCTGCAGCATAGCCCAGCAAACCCCTTCATCATTGCTACTACATCATGTTAGAAGGGATCTCTAATCATAAGCACTGGCTCCTTATTTCTACTATTTTCGCACATACCAGCTCATGCAGATATTCCCTGGGGCTGGGATGGGTTTTTTGCTTTGTAGGAGATAAGCCACAAATCTTCTCTGACTGTGTCTTTGCCATCTATTTCTCTTCTGATGATGCACATGATGCTGCCTTGTTCTTGCACTTATATTTTTCATGCATGCATGCGTGTACATCTGTCTATCTGTCAGATTGTCGGTCGTGCTGACCTGATCTCCATGTAAATATAGTGCTGATGTTTTCATGCACTCTTTGGCAGCTTCCTGTGCTCTGGTCATTTTAATTAATTTCAATATTAAATTATCCTCTAACAGAATACATTATACATAATATTCCACATAATACATACAAATATTGTATAAATTTTTTCTTGCATGTCTTCTGAGTTCATTACTCCATCCTTATGACTTCAGCCTTCAGTCTATCACGCTCTTGGCTTGGAGAAGTGAGGTTGCCTCACTGTTTTTTCTCACTCCCCAGACCAGTTAATTTGCTTGGCTTCCTTTTTGTGATTTAGGGATGGAGAGCTCAGTAGTCTCCTCATGACACCAGCCATGGTCCCCTTCACCTTGTCAGCCCACTTGGCTGCAGCTGATAACCAGCACTTGGTCTCTGTTGTAGTCAGATACTTCATCTCATTTGCTAACTCACCATAACATGACCATTATCTTCTAGTTCCCACTTAAGGTTTTGTGACCATCAATGCAACTTCTTCTTTCAGATCTCATTCCTCCCTTCTCCCCAGACTTGTTGAAAAGAGTTCAAGCAAGTCTTTCCAGCAACATTGGACTTGGTGGTTATTGAGATTTTTACAGTGAGAAATAAGTAGACCAAAAACAAGCAAAAAAACCCCCATTACTAGCAGCCTAAGGATGGCCTTAATCATAGAATCACAAAATCACACAGAAATATTTAGATGGCAAGGGACCTCTGGAGGTCTCCAGTCCAAGCGCCTGCTCACAGCCAGGTTGACTCTAAAACTGCAATATGTTGATCAGGTCCTTGTCCAGGGAACTTCCTAACATCTCCAAGCATGGAGATTGCCTGGCATCTCTTGGCATCTATTCCAATACTGAATCACCTTCAGTGGGAAGAAATTTTTCCTTATACCTAGTCAACAGTTCCTTGCTGCAACCTATGGCTGTTGTTTCCTGTTCCTCTCCTGTGCACATCTGAGCAGAATATGGCTCCTTCTAGGTAATATCCTTTAGATAATGGGAGGCTGAAATTAGATGCCACCTTGGCTCTCTTCTTCCTACCAAACTCAGATTTCTGTCTCTCCCTGTATGTCATGTGCTCCAACCTCCTCACCATCCCAGAATCCCTCCACTGGACTCTGTCCTGTTGGCATCCCTCTTGTACTTGGGCCCAAAACTGGATCCTGTATCCTAGATGAGACCTCAAGTGTGCCAAATAAAAGTAAATAATTACTTCCCTCAGCCTACTGGCTGTGCTCTTGCTAATGCAGCCCTGTATGTGTTTAGATTTAATCACTGCAAGAGCAACGATAACCCACCACAGAGGAGTAAAAAAGCACAGAACTCTTGGCAATATAAACATCTGCAGTCCAATGAATGCCAGAAACCTAGGGATGACTAAAACTAAATGTTTAATACCAAACTCTGGGGGGAACACTGCAGTTGGATTCTTTGCTGAAACACGGGGCTCTGGTGACTTTACCAAGGAGTTTCCACTTCACTGCACTGAAGGATGGTGGGTGCTGACGGGGAACATAGGTCCCATCCACCGAGGTCTGAGACTCAACTGTTATTAACAGAGTATTTGTGTTTTCCAGGATAGCACCCCTTGGCAGTGACAGCATTTCCAGCCCTGAAGTCCACAGCAGGGAGAAACACTCCCACAGCGATGGAGTCATGTGGCAGGGCGGTGAGCAGCACGCTTGCCATCTTCTTGGTTCTGCATCTGGGTGAGTCCTTGGCTCAGCAAACCCTCACAGTTCTTTCCACAAGCCTCACAACATTTGGAGTGTTTTTAGACTCCTCCCGATTTGACATATCACATACTTCACACAGTTTAGAGCAGGCTTGTTCCAGCTATGAAACTGTGTCAGCCTTGTCTGCGGGGCCATGCGATGGCAATTAGGACAGAGGGGCTAGAAGCTGAGAGGCTCCCTATGTTCACGTCCTGTTATTTCAGAGGCAGCATGGACAGCTCAAGCTTTGGGACTCAGGTTGTTCCCAGGCTGCCTGATCAGCCTGCCAGGCAAAACCAGGGTGTCTGGAGCATCACCAGGTTTGGGGAGCTGCCCTGTAGAGAGGCAGGAGTGGGGCTCCTGAAAGAGCTGGGGTGTACACCAAGCACAGAGGGGAAAATATCACCCTCCACACTGCCTCCAGCTGTTAGGGCAAAAATGTGTGTTTCTCATCACAGATTTGCCCTTACAAGTGTGATGCTACTAACTTGCTTAGTTTGACTGCTGATATTACAAGGCTTGATGGACTTTTTAGTGCTCATTTTCCAAGAAAAGAAGGTGAGTGGATTAGGCCTAGCCTGCATTTCTCAGATACTCATCTTTGATTCCTCCGGTTGCAGAGGAAAGATTGGAAATCTTTTACACACCCTAGAACCAAAAGCAAAGCAAAATATACCAACTTTTATTAATAACATTTATAATTTCACGGTTAAAGACAAAGCCATCATTTTCTGTGGTCCAATGTGCAATTATTAAAAATCTGTATTGCCAATGTTGCAGATTACCTGTCCTCTTGGAGGAATACGTAACTTGTAGAAAACCCTCCATTAAACTCATGTAAACTTTTTATTTTGCACTTCTGTGGCTCTCTAGTACTGGGGTCCCCTGTGGATCTGCAGGTTAGGCAGCTCTGAGAGCTTACAAGCAGTGAAGCAGGAGACCACAACCCCAAATTCCAAATCATACCTCTGGCAACTCCATCTCCTTCGTATGGTCTCCTGCAGAAATCCTCTTTACAGAGAAGGAAAGGAAGTGATTTTTTCCAATAAACTACTCCTAATGTTTTGTCAACATCATACAACCTACTTCTTTTACTGTCACATAGCCTTCATCACAAGAACAGGAACCTGACATTAGGCCAGACTTTTTTCTTTCTTTTAGACTTTATCTTATACATTTTCCTGGGTTTTCAGTCTTGCTCCATGCAAAAATTGGAAGAAGGGATGAGCAAATTTGCCAGTGCTGCCTTGAATCTTGACTAGAGAGTAAAGGAGGGCTGGCATATGCTGCCCTGCCTTTGCTACCAGGAGGACAACTAAATCTTGTCCAGTGGAAAAAGCTTGTTTCATTAAAACTGTTGACATCTCAAAATTGTGAATGATGTTGAATCCACTACAATCACTAGTATTTTCCCTGTTTCTGAATACATGTGAAACAGAATAGCCATTAGACACATAAAGAGCCTGAAGTGGAGGGGAGGGAAGCTATGGGCCTGAAAAGGAATTGATTGGATGGGATGGATGGATGGATGGATGGATGGATGGATGGATGGATGGATGGATGGATGGAACAAAAGAGTGAAAAAATTCAGAAACCGAGGATAATCTTCCCAGCACCCAGGAAAGGGAGGAGAAATATCTGTATTTTTCTGGAGGGAAAGTGAATGTATGCCTTTTTTGGTGGGTATTGACTTTCAGGTCTGATCCCCATTATGGCTGAGCAAAAAGAACTACAGATTGGGGTTGCAGGACAGGCAGTGATCCTGAACTGCAGAGGCATACCTCAAGGCATGGGCGTGACCTGGAAGTATTCTAAAGCTGTTATAAGGTTGTTTAGAACTACCCATTTGAAAGGTAAGGCTTCCAGTTCATCATCCCTTCTCCCCAGTATATGGCTGAGAAACCTCTCCTCTCCTAACCAAGCTTATTTTTTCAAAAGGCAAAGCTACCATGACTGATCGATCTGAAATCAACCCCACAAGTAAACACCTGAAGGTGATGGACTTAAGGCTCTCTGATGCTGGCACCTACACCTGTGAATATGGCTCTCACACAGTCAGTATCTCACTGCATGTCTTTAAACGTGAGTGATTAGAGGGCTTTTATCCACAAGAAGGTGAGGTGGGACAGGATGGGACCATAGCACTCAGAGAGACATCTCTGCTGGGATTCTTTACCCGGCTGCCATTTCTTCTGGTCTGGGCTACCATAGTTCATTTCTCCTCCATCTCCAGGGCACAAAGTCTCCTTATCATCTTTGCTGTGAGACTTGTCCCTCTCCCACAGGAAGAGGAGTTGACTTGTTGGATGTGCTTTTTCTTTTTACAGTGACAATCTCTTTAGATGGGCACTTCCTGCCAAATGAAGTCCCCAAGCTGACTTTAATGCAAAATTCAACCCATCCTCTACCCAATCTCAACATCACATTGTTTAACAATAACAACAACATAGTGAGACCAAAATTCTTACAAAATGAGACCCCTCAAAAATACACACTGATGTTAAAACAACTGGAGGCTACAGACAGCGGGACCTGGATGTGTCACATCCGTTCAGACTCTCCACTGATTAACCAGAACATCTCCTTTGAGCTGAAGGTATTAGGTATGCAACAGCAAAAATGCAATTCACGCGCAGGCTTGAGAACCACTGCTCCCTCCAGCTCATGGGCTGAGCTTTTACTTTCCAGCAACCCAAGCAATGCTGCCCCAGGGTTGATTTCCCAGGGCTTCCAACACTGCAGCTTGGACTCCCTCTTGCTCTGCTACCTGAGCTCTGTTCCACACTTGCTCCTATTTTCATCTCCAGGCTTAGTGAGGAGAGGATTCTCCTCTCTTTAGGGTCTGTTCTTCTCAGCTCTGGTGAGCTTGAGAGCTTTGGGTCTTTAACCTGTTCTCAGATACTAACTGTTTATGCTTCCTGGGGTATCTCATGGCTTTTCTCCAGGTTTTCTTTCAACTGAGCACACTGTGCATCTCTCCAGATCAAGGGTGGATATGGGGAAGTGTAGCCATGGATTTCCCTGCCTCTGTATTCCTTGTCTCTTCTAAATTCAGGTTTTCAGAATCTCTATTCGGAAAGAAAGTATGCAACTGTTGATAGCACTGTCATCTTGTCATGGCATCTGAACTTTCAGCAGATAAAATGGAAAGAAGGTTTCACAGGACAAATGAATTGGAAACAACAGGAAAGTGCAACTGCTCATGAGCTACTTGATTTCAATGTCACAGCACGAGGAGAGCAGCATGAGACCAAAAAAATCAGTCGCTTTCGGTTTGAGATACCTGAAAGCAAACCTAAAAGTACCATACAAGTGGAACTCTCCAAAGTCCATTTCAACCACTCTGGGCAGTACCAATGCCAGCTGGCATACAACGGAAGATACACACACAACAAGATAGAGCTGGTGGTGATGAAAGGTGAGAGAAAGAGACGAGGAACTGAAGAAATTTGGAAGCCACAAGAGTATACGTGTGGACCAATCTTCCCATCCCTATCACTCACGTGTCCCTTTCTTACCTTTACAGTCTCAGCTGACCCTGTCGGGCCACTCTCCAGAGGGGCCGAGATGACCCTGATCTGCCAGGTCTCCAGTCCACTCCCATCCAACACCCACTTGCTTTGGAAACATATGAATGGGACTCCAATAGACATCAAAAAGTCAAAGCAGCATGCAGTAAAGGTGGAGGTGAAAGTCAGTGCTGCAGGGGTGTGGAGCTGTCACCTCATAGAAGACAATGACAGCAAGATCAGCCTTAATTATATTGTGGGTATGGAAATTAGCATCACATCCCTGCCTCCACCCAAAAGCCTTAAAATTCTCTTTGTTTCTATGTCTAAACACTTTTCTCCTTCCACAGAGGAAGCTCCTGTTTGGCTTAGCTATGTGGTAATTGGAGCAAGCGTTGGAGGCAGCATACTGTTTTTTGGCCTTGCATGCCTGTGCATCATCAGTGGTATAAGCTGGCAGCACAGAAGGGTGAGTGCCCTGGTGAAGAGATGAGAGTCTCCCCAAACATAGGAGGCGTCTAATTTTCTGTCTGGGTGTAGGGCAGAACAAATAAAGGGTAAATCCTTAGACTCAAAGCAAATGGTTAGAGATGGACAGTCTGCAGATGTCAGACAGTATTTACTACCATTTCAGAGGAAAACATTTGAAGCATAAAAATATCCATCATCATTTATCCCTTCTCTCCTGACAGCAACGAGCAAAAAGGATGATACGAGCAAGACAATACTTGCTGGAAAACAAGACATGTCAGTGTCAACAGTAAGTGACAATGAGGGCATCCAAAATGGACAAAGACTTTGATTTCAAGACAAGAGAGTTGGATGGTTGAGCAGGGAGCTTGAGTCTGCTTAGTGCTACAGTACAGCTGCATTTCAGCATTTTCAGCTCTTACTCATGTTAAGTTATGCTTTAAGAGTTATGAGCTATGTTTAATGAATTTCTTGTTATGCCCTAAACCCATGGTAGCACTGTGCTGGGAAACTTTTGGGCAGAGAGGTTTCACTTGAATTACCTTGATGTTGAGAGATGTTAGCCAAACCCAAGCAGGTGCTCCAGAATTCACTCCACAGTGGATCTGGGTCCTGGATATTGAGGTTGTGGAAGTGGAAGGCACATAACCAAGCTCAAGGATGAAACACAAATTTTAAAAATCCAGGACGTCCATAATATAATTCCAGCTCTGTTAGCACAGTGCTGGACTGCAGTCTGTGAAAATTGCCAATTACCTCCTCAGAGCAAGGAAAGAGAAGGAAAAAATCACAGAACTCTGTGAACCGTGCCCTCTCCCAAAGACCTTGTATGATATGAAATACATCATCATGTCCTGGACCTTTTCACGGGAGCAAGGATTTCTCAGCAGAGGAGCTGCCCTCTTCCAGGTCTTTAAGCTTATATGGTATCAGCCATCAGAAGCAGATGTGGAGAAACACTGATGGCTATTCTGTCACTGGAAGTGGAGAGCTAAGGACAGTATAAATGATTTCATGGACAAGTTCAATGAATGTATAGGTACACAACTGGCCTTCCGCTTAATTTTCACTGGTGACAGTGGCAAACTCTGATAGTTTCACCTATTTTTTTTCCCCACTGTCATTGAGAATTCAGTGAGAATGTTTATTGTCAAATACTACTTCATAGCTGGGATGTGTATGAGGTGAAGAGTTGGTTAGTATAACACATGTCAAAGAATTAACCTCATTTTCACCTACTTTTTATCAAGGTTAAAAAATAATCCCCATAAGGAGAGGAAAAAGCCCATACAGCTACAGCAAAAACTAGATAAATCTGTCCATACAAGTGCTGATACAGTTGTTCTTTAACTCTCTTTGCCAAGTAAGCAGCTCAGTGTAACTAAAACCTAAACTGCAGCCATGCAGATGCACAAGTAACCCTTTGCATCCTCAGCTACAGAGGCAGGCAGTTGTTCTTTATACTATGAAAAAAAGTGGGCATTCAAGGTATCCAAGTGAAGCTTTTCACTTCTACAATACTGTACTCACATAATACTTTTCTCTTGCAGCCGGCTGAATAAGTAGTATTGCAGCACTAGCGTCAGAGGGAGTGAAGTCTCTGCCTGTACCTAAACACCTGCCAGCCCACAGTGCTCTGTGAATCCATCTCCCTTTCTCCTGTTTTGATGTAATTCATTATTCCTTCATCATTCTCCCAGTCTTATGCCATGAAGGGATGTTGTCTGGCTAGGAGCCGATGGACAAGACTAGGAAGCCTTAAAGGTTATGATTGATCCCCAGTTCTATAATGAGAGACAATGAATAGAAGATATATATATATATATGCTTGTATTTTGCTCGTGCACTTAATTTGACCTTCTTATGGAACAAATTTTATGTGCTTCTTTTATCCACCTGAGCTACAATAAATTACTTTGGGGTTGGGTCGGATTTTTTTGCAAGCCAGACTAAATTTTTTGTGAGGCACTCTTGTTTGGTTTAAATTCACATTTCTCCCTTTCCTGCCAGGATACGGAATCCTGATTCTCACTATCTCCCACCTCCCTGGCTGCCACAAGCCTTCCATAATGCACCAGCCCTCTGCTCTTTGTGAAACCTGTCCATCCTGGTTTGCCTTTCCTGGGCAGTCTGAGCCCTGTGGCACCCCCAGACCTACCCCTTAGCCTGTAGTCTTCACATCTCTAAAAACAAACCAATGCACCAGTGAAAACACCACAGACAGTGGGATAATCCAGGACTAATTTTGTTGGGAAGGCCTTTCAGGATACCAATAGCTTTTGGAAATCAGAGCCTGAAGAATTTGTGAATGTTGATCTGGTAAGTCTGGGAAGGAGGTGATAAAATAATTTTCTAGGAGAACAAACTGACCTTGGACTGAACAAGCCCACAGAGTGCAGAGAACAGATGCTTCTGAAAAAGCCACCAAAAAATGGTTCTCAACAAAATGACTCCTTGTTGGCTCAAGGAGATGGGAAGAGGGAGTGAAAAGCCCAGGAAATTTAGGATGGAAGTAAAAGTGTGTTGTAGAGATGCCAGAATGTCCTTAAAGAAAAATACTGTTAAAATATGTACGCAGAAGCCTTGTGTTTATAGATGTTACTCTACTGTCTGCTAGCAGCAAGTCTAAAAGGCCTTGAGGTCCTACAGCTGTCACTGGCTGTGGTCCAGGTTTGTTCATCTGTGCTGGGCTTGCCAGGAAGAGGCAGAGAGGGACTGTGGACTATGGGAAGGGCTCCCTGTGGTGGACATCCCCCCACAGGATGCCTGGTGCTGGAGGAGGTTTCTCTGTCACAGTCATACCAGCATCACGCTGCTGTTGACAGAGAAAAGACACGTGGCAACAACGGCAGAGACCACACCTGTGAGCCAGGGGAAATATTCCCCACCACGGACCCCATCTCTCCCCTGGAGTGGGGACGCAGCCCCAGGCAGCTGGGGCAGCAGGTGTGGGCCACCACCGGCATCATGCCTGCTCCTCCACCACCATCCTCAGACATGCTGTTGTACTCCCCATAGCTTGTGCCTGTGCACCCAAAACTACATTAAATTTGAAAAAGCCTTGGTCCATATCCCAGTGCATGCAGTTGCTCCTCCTGCTCCTGTCCTGTCCCTGAACTGCCAGCATACCTTGGAAGACAGTTGAGGCCCATCAGCCTGCTAAACAAGGTATCATCAGAGCTTAACAAGACGTCAGTTTTAGGAGCTGTATGAGGGAAAATGTGCACAGAGTCAGTGGTGGTCGATATAACAATCATGACAAAGTGCTTGACATAGTCGCCTCAGACACAATCAATCCCTGCTCCTGCATTCCAGCCCTTCTTAAATAACTGCTCAAGTAACCCAAGTCTGTTCCTCTTTCCACTCACATGGGTGTCTGGAGCAGAGGGATTATCCTGCACCACCTGATCCCTGGGTGGGACAAAGCAGCGCACTGGGTGAGCGCCCATCATAACCTCCTCTGGCACTGCAGCCATCTCCAGCAGTTCAGATGCTCACCTGAGGCTCCAGCAGCTGAACCAACCACCTCTGTACCTAAAAATACAAGTCTTTATTATGTCAGTGAGAGGATCAGCCTGACAGAATAAGACTAAAGCTAATAGGGCCCACCTGGCCCCCAGCACAGGGTCCATCAAACGTGGCCTGTGTGGAATGAAGCACGTGGGTAGCAGAGAATGCCCATGCCAGTAGCTTGGAGAGCACGGGGGTGCCTGTGCTGCCTGACAGCGCTGCCTGCAGCTGCCGAAGCCTCCAAGCCAGGCTGGTCCTCTCACCGGACAAGGACTGTCACCATGTGGACGTGCGACCCTTAGTTCAGCAACCCCAGTTCTGCTCTTTTCCAAGGGCTGGAAGAGGCACGCTGAGTCCCCACAAGTGAACAAAGGCTGTGTCCCCAGTCACAGCCAGGACCGACCTGAAGTGTGTGGCCAAGCTCATGCTCCCACCATGGATGCAGAAGGTCCCTCCACCCGTTTCCAAGTGGCCTGGCTGGTGTTACAGCAGATGCGATGGTGCCACTGGGATGTCAGTAAGTGCACAGCCATGTCCACAGTTGCACAGCTTCCAGTTCTCCCATCTGGATGGGCGTAACAAAAATGATAAGCCTTCCTCAACACTGCACACTTCCTCAGTAGGTCTCCTGATCTCAGCAGTCATGACCCTGCCCTACTCTACTTGAATCTCAAACAAACCACTCTAGGATCCAATCTCATAAATCTCTTTTTTTGGCAGCTCAGCTGTCTGTATCTTTTTACATGATGACCTTCTTTGTTCCCTAGATGCACAGATTGAGAGAAAAGTCACCCACAGTCCTAGATGGGCTTTGCTTTCTGTCTGAGTGCAATACTGAAAGCTTCAGTGTGGGCTTCAAGGCAGTATGGAGCTGGAGGTTCAGACCAGAGAACAAGCTTGCACAAAACATAAGTGTTGATGTAGATGTACCTGATGAGTCTCCAGCTGGAGTGGACTGCAGTAACATCTTGCCCAGGCCTAGGCTGCAGGAATGCAACAGCACGCTCCCTTTCGGACACAACACACTGTCTTCACAGCCTGCACAGCAGGTAACGCTGCGGCAACAGCGCTCCTATGACATATTGAAGGCAGAGACGAAAAGCCAGGTGTGCCTATCAGATCACTTTTGAATGCATGCCAGGGCTTTACAGGCTGTCGCATGTATCCTGGTCCTCCTTCTCAGGAGGCATTGAGGACTTTGCTAGGTGTGATGAGGGCGCAACTACACTATGCAATGGAATAATGCCTCTGCATGATGCATACCACAGCAATATACAACTCTATAAGGCAGCAAACACAATGACAGACATATTTTATCATGTAGTGACAGCTCATCAGAGCAGCCCTGAGATGACGGCAGGACTGTGAAAGGCATACGCAGCAGTACTCACAAAATTACAACTGCAGCAAGAGCTCTGTGCAGTGATATGGAAACATCACAGAAAGCAAGAGTTTAGAAAAAGCTGAAGAGTGTTGGTTTTCCCTAACATGTCGGTCTTTCTGATACTACTGTTCTGCATGTTTCTGGGCCGCAGAAGGGAAAAAGCATGTGCTTCAGTCCTTTGGACCCACCTCCAATACATGGTCCCCCGTCAGGACCCACAGACCTGCTTGCTCGAGTGGAGGAAGGGGCTTGGACACAGCTGTTCCTGCGCCCTGTCCCAGTTCTGCTGAACTAGAAACACATGGGCTGAAACAATCCCAGCCCGTAGCCCTACCTCCCTAAGCCCCTCCTGCTTCCCAGTTTATTTCTGCCCTCGGAGCGGGAGGCGAGGCGGTGATTCGGCGAATGCTGTCAGCCAGGATCTGCCGAGGCTGTCCATGTGACTCACCGCTCCCCGCGGGCTCTGCAGCCAAGCGCTCGCATCCCTCAGCCTTCAGAGCCGAATGACCCTGTGTGTTTCTTCATATGTTACCAAGGTCTAGAAGGAAGCTGTGCACTTCAGCCTCTTCTGATTTCTTTTTATTTCAGAGGGAAAAATAAAATAAAATTTAAAAAAAAAAAAGAAAAAAGAACTGTTTTCAGCATCCGTTTGAGTGGCTCATCAGCCTAATGCAGCTGCAGAGAGAGAATAGCTTCTATCTGCCTTTCTTGGAGGTGAGGACAGGGCAGGAGTATCAGATCCTTGCAGATGCTTAACTCTGGACTGTTCCTTTTTGAGGGTATCCCCAAGGGCGTGTTTACTAGGAGCAACCCCAGAGTTCGTTAGTGTGCTCATATCCGAGCAACACCTCCAAACAGCAGTGGGCTGCCTTTGCCTCATGCATGTCAGCATCCTTCTCCAGCATCGCCCCCTGAAGAAGTCTTTGGCTTTCCTTCTGTTCATTTTCTAGCCAGTCTGGCCAAGCCTTAAAAATGCTTCCAGATTAGAGAATTGGAAAATAGCAGAATAAGACGTGGTGGCAGAGACTGCACTTTTAGAAAGTGGCATAATTAAATTCTGAAATGACATTTTTACATCCTTTATAGACTGGAACTCACTGCACTGGGATACCAGTGAGACCACAAGGGCAGGAGGGATGGAAAAGGGGTCAGTAACATACAGAAGAGAAGCACATGGAAAGCATCACATCGGGTGGGTAAGGGAGTTGGGGAAGCAGGAGGATATATAAACCTCTGCCAAATGGCACGCAGCATCATAACAAGCATGTATTTGACAAGCCTACATTGGTACTTCCTTTTCTCAAGGAAAATATAATATAGAAATATTGTTGTATGGGATGGAGGAAAAAAAAACCTTTAGAAGGTGCCCAGCTGTGTAAGAAAAAATGCTTAGCTGTTAAACAAGCATCCACAAGCTCAAATCCTAGTATTTACACTGCAAGCCCTTAATAATTCTGTGTAGCTCATAACCAGTGTTGTCTGTCCCTTGATGTGAGTTATTACCTCTTGCCCATTTTGCAGATGAATTATCCAAGAAATCTCACTAAATTTTTCTGTACGGTGCCAGAAATAGAATCTAAGGTTTGGATGTGACAAATCCACCTTGCAGTCACTGTCTCGTCTGAAGGAATATACTAATGTATCTGCTCAGCTAGATTCTTCTTAGCCATTAACCGCACCCAGCCCAGAGAGCCCAGAAGGATGCCAGGAAACCTGCTTGCAAGCACACCAGGGTAGCCTCACAAGAGGCTGTGTAAGCTATTTGGGACTCTGAGAATGGATTTAATTGCATCCATGATGTGTGAGAAACATGTGAAACCTTCCATGGTCACTATCAAAGTCCCAAATAAGAGCTGCAAACCATCCAAGCCCTGTGAAGGGAATTTGGCTGTTCAATTAATGCTTTGCTTTTAGGCTTCGGGTGTTTGTTGCTTGGTTAATGAGTACTGTTCCTTTAAGAATACAGGGCACCTTTGGCAAGAGCATTTCCCTGGACCTGCAGAGCTGCTGTCCAGAAATAACTGATCTTTATGCAATGAGCTTTTCCAGAAATCATTTCTTACCCTGACATTGTAACAGTGGTGTTTCTTTGGGCCTGGCTGCCTTAAGATATTTTAGTGAGCTACTGAGCC